TATGCGAGATCCGTTCGGGGTTCAAACGTTATCCGAATTAAGATCCGCGAATTGCTACGCGCTCGTGAGGACACGAGGATCATTCTAGGACCAAGAGTGGTCCCCAATACCCGGCTCAAACTCCTAGTCCAGGTAAAACACCTAATTTGGAACTACTTTTGTTCTTGGACTATGGCCAAAAAGTGGCCGGAAATGACTGAACCCGAGCTCTCAAACTGGCAGAATTTCAAATCATGAATTAACCCTTCAAACCTCAAAATTCCTTAAAACCTACCCAACCAACAGCTAGAACGTGAAAATCAGTCGAATTTCCATACCTAATTCATCCGATTTGGTGGCCGGATGACGACGAACGGAGCCGACGAAATTCTGCCAAAACTGACGCGATTTTCTGGTTCTCTCTGGCGATTCGTGGCGGCAGGCGACGGGGAAAGGGTCGGGCTGAGCTGCTGAGATGTCGCCGGTCATTTCTGGGCTGGTCCGGCGTCCTACGGTGGTCGGATGGTGGTGGGTTATGGTGAAGGGAGGTGCGGCTGGAGGAAGAAGAAAACAGGGGTGGGGGTTTGGTGTCGTGAGGAAGAAGAGAGAGTGAGGAGAGAGAAAGGGAGAATCAGTTTTAAAAATCTGATTTCTCAAATTTACCATTTTGCCCCTCTCAGTGTGTTCATCGTAATTCCTTCGTTACAAGTCCGATTCGAGTCCATTACGTGTCTACAGACTCGTTTCGTCGCGCTCTACGCAACGGTATAAGTAGTTTTCCCAAATTCTTCCCCAGTCAACAAGTCAACGTTTTCCATGAATCAAAGTATATAATTTATAAATCGTTCCTGATTTCAAAACATATTTTCCTTCTCATGTTCTCTTACTCACAAATACTTATTTTGTCTTTCAGATTGGGCTGGATTGCCACAACATCTTTTAGATTCAGTTGTAGATAGATTAGTGGCGCAACTGGACTTTGCGCGATTCAGTATTGTGTGTATGTCATGGCACTCTGTAGCAAAACATAATCAAAGTCATCGTGCTAAGCTGTTAGGTCGTGACCAACCTCCAATGCTTATGATTTCTACCGACCAAGAAGGTACATGGAACTTATGCAACCTCGTGGATGAAAAAGTTTTGGATTTGCAATTTCACTTTTTAAATAAGCGCTTTTGTGGGTCTTCAAAAGGATGGGTAATTATCGGGGAAGAAAACTTTGCGGTAACCCTACTAGACCCATTGTCTAGAACCAAAGGGAAGGAAGAAAAATAAAATTCAATCATTCGCCTACCTCCATTAATCAGCCCTCCAGATGATAAGGGTGGTGCATTGAAATTCTGGACTAAACATTATGAGTATTATGTCAAGAAGGCTACACTAACAGCAGACCCAATATTAAATGCAAACGAGTGCATTGTTGTGGTGATATTTGGGTATTTTTCTAATATG